CCTGAGCAAAACCACCACAGCGGACTCATGCCCCGCGGTGGACCAGAGCCCGAGTCAGCCTCTTCCTCAGTCTCCCCACTCCTGATTGTGCGGGTGACGAGACGACAGGATGGAGGGTTTGCCGTTTCTCCAAATGATGACAGCATTACCTTGTTTAGGAGCTCTGCCGTCCCACCTTCGTTTAGTGGAGCCAGTTTGGGTTTTATGATATCTATGATGGGCTGAAAGGAAATACAGAAACTAAACTGAAACCAGCATGGATAAATCATATGTAAGCATGAATAAATCATGTGTAATCACTGAACGCTCTCACTTTCTAGTGGGAAAGACTGCACAAACATCCACTGGGACATCAGCTCCGTGAGAGAGGGGCTTCTCGTGGATTTGGGTCTCTGCTACATCCCAATGGTTGGGACAGTGCCTGGCCCACGTGCCCAACACAAATTCGAGATAAAAATGAAACCCATCCTCCCTGTATCTTTAAAAAAACAAACAGATGGAAGGGAGAGGAGGAAGAGCAGATATAAACCCTACCTTGACGGACTGGGATTCTAAACCTGTGGGGCTGAAACAGATTTCCACGTGAACCCAGACTCAGAGAAAAACTGTAATATTGATGGAATTTAGGCAACTACACTACACTACAGAGAAAGAATCGCTTGGCACAAATATTCTGGCAGTTTAGTAATATGTATTCAAAACAAAGAATTCATGCCCTCTGACCCAGAAATGTGTTCTGAAGGAATAACTGGAGAAAGTTTGGATGTGCATGTTCACGGCTCCTCTCAGGGACGTTGACTCCCAGGTGCTTCCATACAGCGCAGCGTTAAGTGGTCACTGCAGACACCGGGAATGATTAAAACGAGGAGGAGGTACAACCAGTATGGTCTCCACTCGACAGATGAGGACGACAAGGCTCAGCCATCTGAGGCACACTGCTCAAGGTCACACAGTTAGTGGGGGACGGAGCCAGGATGTACACCCAGGTGTGACGGGCCCCAACGCCTGTGCCCTGCAGCCTCGGAGTGAAGAGGTCATACGGCTGGGAGTCAGGTGGACGGCAGGGAGGGAGGGAGGGAGAGAGAGTGTGTGTGTGTGTGTGTGTGTGTGTGTGTGAGAGAGAGAGAGAGAGAGAGAGAGAGAGAGAGAGAGAGAGAGTGTGTGTATGTGTGTGCTGAGAGGCAGTTTTTGAATCCTGCTCTGAAGACTGCTTTTCCTTCTGAGTTCTCACTTCAGCCTCTGACTGCTCTGAGCAGCTTGAGGATTTTAAATATTGGCTATTAAGAGATGCACTTAAAATGGCCCCAAATTACCTTTTTATTTGAAGTTGTAAATTCTGCTTTTTCAAATTCTGCAACTTGTTCTAATAATTCTCTTGAAGATAAAAGCAAATATGAAAAAATATTTATTTAAAATGTATTTGTGTCACACATAAGAATAAAATCACTCGTACCAATCCATTACCTGCCACAGAGAACAGAGCAAGATGAACAAACCTTCATCATGTCAAAAGTGATATTTAGTTACTATGGTTGAGAACCCAAACCACATGGACTCAACTGTGAATCTTCCACAGCACCTCGTATTGTGCACCTACTGCGTGTGCGATGAACTGCTAGAACTAAACTACAATGTTAATACACGTACAAGTATGTCTGAAATTTGTAGTCAACTGTACTTTTGAGGTACTCTAGGGAGATTGTTCTGTTATAATATACATTGTTAGCGAGGAGATATTCAAGAAAGACAAGCTGATTTTAATAAGAGTTGCCTCCCCAGATGATATTACAGTACTTTGGATATCTACGGAAAACAGTATGATACACTCTCCATTCTCCAGAGAGACAGGTGGTTTGGGGTGATCCACATGATTATTTCTTTTCATTTGCAAAGGGAAACAAGAGCTGACTATGCAAAAGCCTTTAGAGTACACGGCAGTGACTACTCTTCTAAGCTTCTGAAGAGGTCAGTTTCTCCACCTTTTCTCAGCTGATGAAGTTAAATGGGTTTCCTTCCCAACCATGGGCCCTCACCTGTGTCCATCAACCTTCTCCACATGGGCCCACATGCTGCAACTGTGTTTAAGCACAGTTCCCAGGGCTCAGCGGTCAGTCTTCCTGATTTCTGGGCATGACATTTCTTAGAATGAGTTTCACGGTGGCCGATTTTATCATACTTTTAAAAATTAATGAGCTCTTTAATATTGCTCAGGTTATAAAGCTTCGGGTTTTTTTTAACATTTCCTATTTTAAAGGTAAATGCATAATTTAAAATGTAATTATTTAGAAATAAACTTCCAATACTACAGGTCTGAAGTGATGGTATTTGAATTATTTTTTCAAATGTTTCATAATCTTTATTTCCCAGTTGACCTATCTCTAAAGATTTATTATGATACCCATCAGGCTAACAAAGATCCCGTGAAGAATAATTAGTACTAGCCTGGAAAGCAATTTCATGCATCTCCAATGCCTCTGTACCAGCTAAAAACAGCAGAAACAGAATTTTGAAGAGGACGTCGAGCGGCACCTACGGGATCACTCGGTAACCAGATGCTTTGCTGCTGCCCTACCCAAACTGTCTCACGCACCAGCCCCCAGAAAAGCAGCAGCGAAAACATTCGCTACTTTTTAAGATCATGGGTGAGCCTCTGTGGTCCTAACTGCAGGCACACGTTGTATTACCTGTTTTCAAGTTCTGAGATGTCTGTTTGCAGCTTGAGGTACCATTTCTCTGCTTGGGAGAAAAGCTGCCGCAGAAGTAGCACGTTGGTGTGGGCAGTGTTGATGAGCTCAGACTCTACCTCACTGTGGACCACGGCCTGTAAGCTGCTCAGGACCTCGGAGACTTCGTCTGCGGTGAAGGTCTCCTCCACCAGCCTGGAAAACACCCGCCACCCCAAACTTCCGCATAAACAACAAAAGCCACTTACAAAACAAAACTAAGAAACCCACACTCGTGCCATCCAGGGGATGAAAGGGACACTGTAAAAATCTCTCTGGGAACTATCTTCTTTATTAATAAAGCAGACTGAAAATAATAGACAGATGCTCAATTAAATTTTGATGTCTATTTAAACAATTAAATTGTGGGTCATTCTTCAAATGTGGACATCTCTTAACACAAGTATCTGCTCAGAGATATTGCCCCAAACTATTCACTTTTTTTTTTCCATTTTCCAGCTTAAAAATCTTTTACTTTTTTCTCCACTAAAATTGGGCTGATCACAGTAATTTCAAAAGTCATCTGGAAGGTTTAATTTCTCCTTTCTTTCTATTATTTGTCTAGCATTTCAATAATTGTATGAACTATTGACATGTTAGTAAATGCCTATAAGAAAATCAATGATAATGATATATTGCCTCTCCTAGCATTCTTGAGACTCAAAAGAAGAGAAAAAAATGAACTCATTTTAGTTAAAGCTCCATGGACCATTGACCATTTGTGAAAATGATCATCATCGTCAATAAGATTAAAAATCCACCCTCCCACCCAGAGTGTTTGGGTTGGGAGGAAACTTTAGAGCCATTTTTTTCAATCTCCTCACTTTACAGATGGGAACACAGGCTCAGAGGGTAGAGGTGACAGGCCCATGGTCCCACTGGGGTGACTGAACCCCACAATTATTTCCGGCACTCTCAGTAACGCAGCCAATGTCTGAATTCTTGAGAAGGCGGCTGTGCACACCTCCTACTTGTAACGAGTTTCACAGGAACACAGTTCTCTCCTCTCCCTACCTCCGCCCCTAAAGTCCCTTGTCCCTCAGATGCTGCTCAGAGGATGAAGAGCATTGGCCCCAACCCCAGGTTTACCTTCTTCCTTACTTCCAAAAGGACCTACCTAATGAAGGGGGTACCAAAGTGAGACTCAAATTAACGTTATTTGATTTACCATTCTGTAAATGTTTCGTTTAGTCAACAAAATTTAACCATTCAAAAAAAAAACCTCGAACTATTTCTGATGAAAATCCTTACTAAATACTATATTAACAGTCTTTATATTTTAAAAATCTGCTCTTTTTTTGGCAACCCAAGTTCACGATTATGAAGAGCAGTTAAGGTACTCGGATGCACACAAGGAGGACTGAAGCACCTCTCCGGGCTGTTCCACAGCCTTGACAATTAAACGGTTGCTTAATCCTTCATTGGGTGCAGCTGATTTCACAGGTTCATCGCACACAAATTTTCAAATATGCAATATGTCTTTGCTGTACTAAGTCACAAACACGACTGGCGATAGGTTACGGTAGAGGGGGAAGATATGGAAGCGATGAGTCACGATACTTAAGTTAACTGTTAGATATTTGAAAATTTGTGTGCAATGAATCTGTGAGATCAGTTGCGCCTGACGGAGGGTTATATCTGCTGGGGGTTAGGAAACCAGATTAATGAAACAGATAACTGCCTACAGCTGAAAATCTCTACTACTGCGTGAAGTTCACGGCTTTATGACAATTACAGCTACCTTGGAGGCCTTTTTCATTTGTCTTACCTGATATCTAAGTGTGCCAAAGCCTTCTTCCCAAGTAATCTGATGTCTCTTTATTATTCAGTCTTTTTCTTTGGTCTCCCTATTATCCTCCAGATCAATCATCAGTTTTTTATGGTCTTTAGTTATCTTCTATTATTGGTCCAACCAAACTAATTATCATCTCTTGCTACAAAATCGACAAACAATTTTGGTACCAGTCAGCAAGCTTTTCATGATTTCCTGCTGTGTTCTCCACTCTTAATTCTTCAATATGAATTTTGCAGGTGTTTTTCTGCTAATTGCCATATCTTACGGCTCTAATCTATTAACTTAGAACTCAAATAATTAAACTTTTGGAATCTTTAAGACAAACCAATCATGAACTCACAAGCAATTCACAATTCACCCTTCTAAAACTCTGCAAACCCTTAATTATCAGACATGCATGTTTGATAATGGATTGCTCCCACCACAACCCAATTTCTGGAGTTTCACATCTCTATGAGGCTTAGTGTAGCTGCTCTCAATGAATAATGAATCACGATAATCCCAGCAATGGTTCATATGGCCTCGCGACACCATTCCCACACCGGCTACCAGAAAGGAGTCGTGTTTCCACGCGGCTCCTTAGAGTCCTCTGATACCTGCTCTCCTTGAGGTCTTGGAAGCAGGAATCTACCGTTTTGAGTCTCAAGCCTCTTTTTGAACGAGCAAAACGCATATAATTAATGACTTCATTTTGATGGTGCTCATTTAGGCCCAACTCTGCCTGAAAAAGAGAGAGAAGTTTAATTGTCAGTCTTGAAGATGTAATAAAGGAACCAACAATGAAAACACAGGCTATCCTGCGGTTGAGACTGATAGATGTCCACTAAATTCTGTTCTTCCCTTCTTCTCAGATACATGGCTACCCAACTAGGGGACATGTCCCAGCTCCCCTTGAGGTCGGGTGTTGCCATGTGACCACTGCTCTGCAGTGGATGTGGGCAGAAGAGGGCTACTTCCCGAGTCTGGGCCTTCGACGGGGCGGGCCTTTGCTACACCCCATTTCTCTGAAGCATGGAGGAGTGGTGACTGGGCTGAACCGTGCAGACAGCAACCATGCCCTAGGGGCTGAGGCAGCAGCCAGATGAAAGGGACCTGTAACCCTCGGGGGCTTCATGGGGCAGCACTGACCCACTCACTCACCTGAGATGAGCAGTGCGATGCCTGTCACGTGGGAAAAATACACCTCCGTGTTCCTCCAGCCACTGTGTTTCGGATCTCTATTACAGCGACTTAACCTTACCCCACCTAATTCGGCTTTAAGAAATGCTATATTAGGTTCTGAAATAGCCATTAATTGGTCTTGATTTTAAACCAGATGACAGCTGGACAACTATGAGCTAGAGATGAAAGACATCCTTTTTCATTTTACAGCCATATCGAAAATTAAAGAAGGAAATTATAAAACTGAACATCTAGTGTAGGGGACTAAGTGAGTCAGAATTATCTTTATTTTAAGAATAACTTGAACTATCATAGCTTCCTTATGGGAGACAAAGGTGTAACTTCTAAGCCTCTTTTTCAGGCTTATCCCCCCAACACTGCGGAGGCTACCACCAAGTCATCGAGCATGGTCTCCTGCCCACTAGTCCTTCCCCACGGCTTTCTGTATCCACACCCATCCTTGCCTCCTGGTGGCAGTCTCAATTTCCTTAGAACATAAGTCTACAAGGGCCGGGACCCTGCCCATCTGATTCCCTGAGGTACACCCAGTACTTCTCATAGTGCCTGGCCCACAACAGACAGGTGCCCGACAAATGAACTTAAAGAGTATTCCCCCTTTTGAAGGTCACTCCTTCATGAAGCCTCGATCGGTTCTCCTTCTCACTCCTGGGGAACTTTACTTAACCAACTGTTCCCTCTCTCAACACGCTGAGGGTTTCTTCCTCCCTCGAGACTATAGGGAAGCCTGTATATAAACCTTACTCATGCTAAAACAAAACACAACAGAAAACCTGAGACTCCCTCTCGCTCCCACTGCATTTGTCCACTTCCCTTCGACACTTGCCATGTTCGTTCTGTCATCTAGTCCTTAAACCCATCTGCTACTCAACTGCTTTTGTGAAGCTCACCAGCAACTTCTTACAAATCCAACGACATGGCTGATGCCTTGTTCTCAGCTGACCTGCTCCATCCTCTGGCTGCGAACCTTTCCTTCTGAATCTCACCTGCAGCCTCCTCTTCTTGGGCTTGTCTCTGGAGCATGTGGATTTCCCAGGGCCGGGCCTTGTCTGTATCCTCTCCTTACGACATATCTATCCCAAGGTTTCAATGTTACCTACATNTTACAGCATGACAAAGATAAAATAATCCGGGGCTCAGAGTCTTAAGAGGGGAAGGTCTGGCTCACACCACTAGGCAAGCAACGCTGACCAGCAGAAATGCTGTTGTTTTTTTTGGTACGGTGTCCTAGGAGGTCCCCAGCAGGATTGAGCCCCAGCAGCCCACAGTTCCTCAGTCTCCCACAGGACTTCCTGGAATCACTTCTCAAATAAACTACCTGCACCCAAATCCTTATCCTAAGATCTACATTTAGGAGAACCCAAGTAAGACCCTTTTCAACAAGGCTAGCTTGAGGTCTTTGTCAGGCACCTTGCTGAAATCCTGACATGCTATGTCTCTTCCTTCTAGAAGACAGATGAGTTTAGTCTGCTATTGTTTTTTTTCTTTCTTTCTTTTTTTTTTAGCTGAGCCATCCTGCTACCTGTTGGCAGCTCAGCGACTGCTCAGCTTGGGCTGGACTCGAACCAGTGTTGCTCAGAGCTCAAACTCTTGAGCGAGCTCTTAACCAACTGAGCCACTCGGCCGGCCCTAGTCTGCTATTGTTTCTTGCTAGGAGACCCATGCTGGCTCCAGGCGATTGTAAGTTTCTTTTCTAAGTGCTCATGAAAATCCATTTAATATGCTATCAATTTGATAGTAGGCCCACTGTTACTTTCTAAAAATTATAAAGTATTTCCAAATCCCAATTTTGCTTTGTCTAACTTCAGTATCAGTAGTTTTTTATCTGTAAAATACCAAAGAACTTTTCTTCTATGAGGTGTTTGTTACAAATTGTTTTCTTTAAACGCCATTGTCTGAATACCATTATTCTGTCTAAATACTAAATAACATTTTGCTGAGATGGCTTTTATTTCTGGAAGAATTGCTTACATGAGAGAAATCACATCTTGAATTTCCAATGGCAAAGATTTAGAATATAAGCATTTACACATAAGTAGAAGGAATTCATTAATGCCATTGTTTTGCAATCCACTATGTCTAAAAGCAACATGCATTTAAAAATGTAAACATCTCTAAAAATCCTTTTCGGTTCATCAGAATGGAAATAACAAATAGCAAAGGCTTTACCAAATAGGATGACAAATGCAATGCAGATTATATTTTCCTTCTAAAGTTATTGAAGACAGAAGCAAATGCTCATTAAACGTTTAATACAGACTCAAAATGTAATACATATTGAGAACAAACACTTAAGTGTTGACCAGAAGAAATTAATAACAAAAACCTTTTACATTTTATTTTTGTCAACCAAAGGTCTGAGTCATAATTTAGCAGAAGCCTTGAATTTTTAAATTTAACCAAAGCTGCATTATGACAGCCACCAACACAGTCTATACAGCTTATTACACTGAAAGGTCAATCAAGGCTTGGGACACTATTCCTAGAAACCCAAAATATATAGACTTAAAAAGGTGTTCTTTCTTAAATGAGATAAATCCTAAAACTAGGCAAATATTTAAAAAGTAAAAATTTACAACTGCATTTTGCTAAGGGCATGACTTAAAAAAACCCCACAAACACACACACACCTGTGACAAAACCAGAGCACAGAAAATATTTATATGTGAAAGAATNTGTGTCCCCAGCTGCACGATGAACAGCACCACCAAGCCTTTTTTCTCCCACATTGCTTTTAATATTTCTACAGTTCAAGATGTTAAAGCTTAATAACGTCAGTACTACCCGAGGTATCATGATGCTCTAATATTAAAGCTATTTATCCAGTAGACCAATGTTTCAGAACAGTCAGTTGAGTTATTTTGACCAATGTAAACCAACACATTTGAGGTATGTGCTTACCTTAAATTTTATGACTACTTTATTTGATTAAACTTGTAATTAAGATTTTGCTTTAGGACGAGACGGTGTGAACAGAAAGAAGAACTTTCTAATGCTTTGGTTCACACTGATTATTAACCAACTCCCTGAACTAATGTCTAATATTAACACTAATAGTAGTAATGATGAAACAGCTATAAGTCATTCAGAGGTTATAATGTCCCAGGCATGACCTCATTTAAACCTCAATACAATCCTATGAAAAAGAAACTATCATTCCTACTTTACAGGTGGAAAGCTGAGGTACAGAAAATAAATGTTTCCCAAACTACTGAAATGGTAAGTGCTAGAGCAGGCTCTGAACCAGGCAACCTCACCCCAGATCCCACACTCAACTCTGCTATTTCATACCCTTTTAGGAATATGGCAGAATTTAAATATATAAAGAACGTATACAAGTTGTAGTTGCATAGGCACCTGAGTTGTGATTCACAGGACAGATTTCCAGTAGGCATTAAAAAAACAACCTGAACACCTACATTAGAAGTGATGTTATCTCTTAAGGTTGCATCATATGGATGAGAATATCCCGCAATTTGGAAATATCTCAAAGCAAAGCCACAACTTGGTTTAAAAAAAAATCCCATAAACACCAATTCTCAATCATTCTTCCTTGTTTATAGTATTAAATCGATACTCGGTAAGCCCTCCAAACTCCCCAAACTTTCTCTAACCCTGTTTCCTAGAATTCTCTGCAAGAGTACTCTACTTTAGTGAGACCAATCTGCTCATGAGCCCTGAGGAATGATCTGACATTTCCTGCCTCTGTTTTCACTGTTACCCTAAGCACCTCCCCATTCCTATTCAAGAATTGGAATCCTACCCAGTGGGACCCTGGTAACTGCTTAAGAACAAGCTTTTTGAGGTGGGGTGGGGGTGCGCTTGAAATATGAAACTCTGATTTGTAGCCCTTGCTGATTTCCATAGTGTAAATATTCCCATCATGGCTGATTTCAAGCTACCAATATAATGTCACTCAATGCAGAGGTGAGAAGAAATGCATACAATTGGCTGTCACCAGCCAATACAAGCATCTTCAGCACATCACTGCAGTCCTATCCATCCTTCAGGGCCAAACCTGTCTTACTTAACTCTTCCAAGCCTCCCAATATACCAGCGGTTCTCAACCTGTGGGTCGCGACCCCTTT